AAACTATATATACTCCTATGAAGACTAGAGCAAATTGCTTGGACTCAGTAGAGTAGAGTGTGTGATGTGAAACGTAGTTGGACTATGAACAATTTATAAGATGACCGAATAAGATCACTTATCTGCTGGACAATAATGTGACTATGAAGGATGAAGAAGGCATACTATAAGCTTTTTTTATACACAGCTTTGTAAATTATTTCCTTTTTTTTCTACTAAAATTCCATGATCGTAAATGATAATGTTTTTTAAATATACGGTTTTAATAACAATAACAAAATAAACGTTTTTAATATTTCATTGGGATAATGAAATATTTAAAAGATTAATTACTTTATTATTCATATATTACAGCCGAAACAGCAACGATGAGATGAAATGAGCAGGTCCTTCGTTTTGCTTTTTTCGCTTAAAAAACAAATTCATTGTAAGTCATAAATTCCTTTTTAAAAATGTACACTAAATTTTGTTTAAATTTAAAGTCAGGGTTAAAATAATGCTTTTCTTTGTACTATCATTTTTAGTATTTACTGGTAGTTATAATTATAATCTGCCTACTATGCTGCTCTAGTGCTAACAGTTACATGTATTTGTCTAATACACTTGAACTAAATACGTGTTGAAAATAGTACAACCTCCATAAACACCCGGATTAGATACCTGTTTTATTGCCAGTGCTAGAGCAAAAATTAGATCATTTGGAATTTCCATTAATAAAAATGTGTATTTGCATTATCAGCCCTTTAAACAGGTATTTCGATACCTGTTTTTACGATAAATACTGTAGAGAATTATTACCTTATTAACCCCTTTTTCTGAGATTTTAATTTTAACACACTCTGTAGCAGGATTTTAATGGTGTATTTGTTGCTGTACTTTAATCCCGTTTTTGTCAACGTTATATGTCGTGTCTTTGATTGACACTGATTTTTATAATTCTCACGCTAGTTTTGTCTTGTTAAAAATATGAAATATTATTTTCAAAAAATGTATTGTTTCCTATTCTCTTTGTTACCGTAATGTCAATAATTTTGCTGTTTATTTATTCTAAAATTTCTACACATTCGATTATTTCCGTATTTTATTCACGAAAATTCTTGTGTATTTTTTAATTTTCAAACAGGATATTTATTTATGCTAAAGTGGTTAAACAGTTTGAGATTTATTTTGGAATTGATTATTTATCTGAAAAATTCTTTAGGAAGTAGGAATTTTCAGTAAACAAATATTTTGAAAGAAACTGAATAAACTTTTTGCATCAATAGTTTTAAAGTTATAATCAAGGTTGAAAACCGTTTATAAATGAGTAGACTATAGACTAGACTATAGACTAGACTATAGACTAGACTATAGACTAGACTATAGACTAGACTATAGACTAGACTATAGACTAGACTATAGACTAGACTATAGATTAGACTATAGACTAGACTATAGACTAGGCTATAGACTAGACTATAGACTAGACTATAGACTAGACTATAGACACGACTATAGACTAGACTATAGACTAGACTATAGACTATAGACTAGACTATAGACTAGACTATAGACTAGACTATAGACTAGACTATAGACTAGACTATAGACTAGACTATAGACTAGACTATAGACTAGACTATAGACTAGACTATAGACTAGACTATAGACTAGACTATAGACTAGACTATAGACTAGACTATAGACTAGACTATAGACTAGACTATAGACTAGACTATAGACTAGACTATAGACTAGACTATAGACTAGACTATAGACTAGACTATAGACTAGACTATAGACTAGACTATAGACTAGACTATAGACTAGACTATAGACTAGACTATAGACTAGACTATAGACTAGACTATAGACTAGACTATAGACTAGACTATAGACTAGACTATAGACTAGACTATAGACTAGACTATAGACTAGACTATAGACTAGACTATAGACTAGACTATAGACTAGACTATAGACTAGACTATAGACTAGACTATAGACTAGACTATAGACTAGACTATAGACTAGACTATAGACTAGACTATAGACTAGACTATAGACTAGACTATAGACTAGACTATAGACTGACTAGACTGTAGACTAGACTATAGACTAGACTATAGACTAGACTATAGACTAGACTATAGACTAGACTAGAGACTAGACTATATACTAGACTAGGCCATAGACTAGACTATAGACTAGACTATAGACTAGACTATAGACTAGACTATAGACTAGACTATTGGACTACACTATAGACTAGACTATAGACTAGACTATAGACTAGACTATAGACTAGACTATAGACTAGACTATAGACTAGACTATAGACTAGACTATAGACTAGACTAGACTAGACTAGACTATAGACTAGACTAGACTATAGACTAGACTATAGACTAGACTAGGCCATAGACTAGACTAGGCCATAGACTAGACTATAGACTAGACTATAGACTAGACTATAGACTAGACTATAGACTAGACTATAGACTAGACTATAGACTAGACTATAGACTAGACTATAGACTAGACTATAGACTAGACTATAGACTAGACTATAGACTAGACTATAGACTAGACTATAGACTAGACTATAGACTAGACTATAGACTAGACTATAGACTAGACTATAGACTAGACTATAGACTAGACTATAGACTAGACTATAGACTAGACTAGACTAGACTAGACTAGACTAGACTAGACTAGACTAGACTAGACTAGACTAGACTAGACTAGACTAGACTAGACTAGACTAGACTAGACTATAGACTAGACTATAGACTAGACTATAGACTAGACTATAGACTAGACTATAGACTAGACTATAGACTAGACTATAGACTAGACTAGACTAGACTAGACTAGACTAGACTATAGACTAGACTATAGACTAGACTATAGACTAGACTATAGACTAGACTATAGACTAGACTAGACTAGACTAGACTAGACTAGACTAGACTAGACTAGACTAGACTAGACTAGACTAGACTATAGACTAGACTAGACTATGGACTAGACTATAGACTAGACTAAAGACTAGACTAAAGACTAGACTATAGACTAGACTATAGACCAGACTATAGAATAGACTATAGACTAGACTATAGACTAGACTATAGACTAGACTATAGACTATACTATAGACTAGACTATAGACTATACTATAGACTATACTATAGACTATACTATAGACTATACTATAGACTATACTATAGACTGGATTATTGACTATAGACTAGACTACAGACTAGACTATATACTAGACTACAGACTAGACTATATACTAGACTACAAACTAGACTATATAATAGAATGTACACTATACTACACACTAGAGGATTAGACTACAGATATTAGTAATCATTCCATTTTATACATAAAAAACATTAAAAATCTCCAAAATCCGCAATTGCCGTTTCAAAAACGTCATATTTGACGGAAAAACGTCAAATTAGTCTGCACTGCACTTTTTAGAAAGAATACGAGAAATTCGAGAAAAATTAAAAACATTTTTTTTGAAAAGGTCCTCAGTTCCCTACCTCAGAGAAAATCAGTAGTTCAACATTTTTCTATATATATATGCCTCTCAAACCCACCAAAAATCACTTTCTGGACCAAAAATATTCTAAAAAAATTTAAAATTAATTTTCTCGTAATCAACTCAAATTTATGAATTTCGAAAAAATCTAAAATATTTTATTTTTTTTTAAATTACACTGAGTTCAAGATTTTTAATCGCTGATGGAAACTTAGAACCATCACAGAACAATATTTTTTATTTTTCTCAAGTTTAGTACATTAATACGCATCGATTAAGTGGTATTCCTACATGAAATTCTTAAAAAGGTTGTTCCTCAGGGACTGTACATTAGACAGTTACAATCACAAAAGTCAAAAAGTGAGATCTGTATATCAGTCCGTTAAAACAACCGAATAAAAATTTTTGGTGGATATTCGAAAATTTTCATCTATAAAAATCTTTAATATCGATATTTATGTATACAAAATTTTCATCTTCGATATTTTTCTATAAATTTTTAATATTAAATATAAAAATTAATAAAAAAATATTAGGTGTCGTTTTTTTTCTAATTTTATATCGAAAATATTTAATATAAAATTTTTTTAAATCAAAATTTTTAAAAATTTAAAGTTTTTGAAAAATTATCTTTTATAATTATATATTATAGAATATTTACGATTAGTTTTTCTAATTAAAATTAGACTTGTTTTTCTAAAAGGTAATAAAATTCAATTTTATTACAAATATAAAAATTTAATCCCAATTTTGACTTTCTTGGAAATATTTCAGTATTAACATAACAATATCAAATAAAAAATCAATATTTAATATTAATATTAAAAATTTTCTAAATTGTTCTTTAAAGATTTCGTAAATAAAAATATTATTTTAAATTTGGTTAAAAAATAATTTCTTATAAAAAAATTATATCGTTATTGTTTTTCTAATTTCAGATTTTTCTTCAAACAAAGGTAAGTAAGTTTTCACTTTTCAAACTTATTTCATTCCCTAATCACCTGAAAATTTCAAATAAATAAAAAAATCATTTTAAATTTTTGTTTTTAAAAAATATTTCATTTAATATATTTTTGTTAATACACTTATAAAACTAATTAACATTTGGGGTTTGTTTTTTCTTAAAACTAAAATTTCTTAAATACTATAAAAAAAGTTTAGAGTCTTCCATTAATTAATGTCTAAAAATAATCAAATTTTTAAATCATTGTCTTCCCTTAAACTAATTAATTCTAGATATAAAATTAAACTAAATTATTTACACAAAAATAATTAAAGGCACTTGAGATATTTTAAAATAAAAATTACAAAGTTTTACACATAAATACACACGCAAAATTATAAAAATTTGACTAGACTTAAATAAAAAACATTTAAAAATATTTTACACACTGGCAAACAAAAATTGAAGAAATCCCTGATTTGTAACTAAATTATTGAGTTTTAAATTGATTTTATACAGTCTTAAAAATTTTTTTAGGGAGTAGTTAACCTCTCTGCTTTTACTGTTCTTGCCATAAAGAAATATAATCCAAGATTTCTTCATCATCTGGTGTGCAGTCCTCCTCATCGAGATTGAAATTATCGTATGGTTCGAATTTTAATTGTAAGTTGCCATCAAAATGAGGTGGAGTGGTTTGTTGTTGTGGCTGAAAATGTTGTTGCAATTCTTGGATTGTTGCTTGTTGAGGTTGTTCAAAATTTGGTGCATCATATGATAAACTGGAGTTAAAGGATGAGGTGGGTGAATGGCAACCGGGGTTTTCCAACTGAACAGTTTGATGATGAGGTGGAGAATAGGAATTTAGAGAAACTGGCGATAGCAGAGTAGTGCTGCTGTTGTAGGGATTATTTAAATGTGAGACTTGTAGATTGGCATCCATAAGGGAAGGCAAAGGACTTGAAGGCTGGGTATAGTAGATTGGAGTGTTGGTGGTGGTATAAGATGAGGGCGATGAAGAGCCAGTTGATGAAGAACTGCTGAAGGAACTATTACTGGCTGAATCACAGTTGGTATTATTTTGAGATTCATATTGTGGCTGTTGTTGCGTGGAGCTGCCACCATTTAAATCTTCCAAAAGATCTTGTAATCTTCTGATATACTCTACTGCTATGCGCAGTGTATCTACTTTACTTATCTTCTTTTGTGGACCTCGACCACCGCCCTTGGTTAGATCTGAAATGATGGATTGTGGTATATGCTGGCGAAGACGCGAAAAACTATTATTCACTTGTTTAACACGATTACGTTCACGAGCATTGCGACGTAAGACCGATTGAGTTTGATCGGGATTATAAGCAGCTGGACAGTTAGCCGGCACTTTACGCGTTTTACCATCCTCCGCTATGGGATGGGGTTGTATATGAGGATATTTCATCATTTTTGTAGCCGTTACAATGGTTGTGGGAAATAAATGTTGTTGTGAATTTGTTTGATTACAAGTTACACTTGACATTATTGTTATTCTTTAAAGTTTTAGTTTGTTAACACTGAGTTTTTTAAGATTTACGTTTAAAAATCGTTAATTGATTTTTTCGTTTATTTTGTAAATAATTTTTCTTTTTGATTGATTTGCTTTCTTAGATTGTTTGGTTTTTAGAGAACTTGATCCTACGACACCTTGTTTAAGAATGAGTCCCTTTGTCCTAAACCTTTGCATTAAGTACTAGTGCTCACGCAAGTTGCTATGGTTTCAGCTTTGTTGATTTTCTGTGCTCAGGTTAAAAATATTTAATGCTCTTTTTAGAGTCTGATGATAATACAAGTACCTGTGATCTTGTAAACAGGTAAATGGGAGAGCTATAGAGAGTTATAAAATTATAAACGTCTCTCTTAACATTAGGTTCTCTCATTCTCCCTGTTGTTACTTCAAACAGGTATAATTTGCTCTTTATATCTCACCTTTTTAAAAATCTTATCAGTATTTTTTCGTCTGTTGTGCAGACAGGTAAATATATATAAAATAAATCCTTTTAGTTTAAAGATTCAACATGTTATGGGAACAGTTTTTATGGTGTTTGCAGCCGTAAATGTTATTTTGTTACCCCTCCTTAGGTTTGCAGATCTAAAACTCTGTTCTCTGTTGTTTTTGAAATTAGTTTTAAAAAGAGTTTGAGTTTTAAACGTTTCCGAGTAATTTGCTTTTGTAATCTTGAAAACTCTTTAGGGAATTGCTCAATTTTAGCTGCCAGTTAGGTTTTGAAATTGTTTTGAGCAGGAGCTATGCTGCAGTTTATGCGTTTGATTTTCATTTGTTCTATGGAAAAATGTACGTAATTTTTTGCCGATCTCTATTAAATTTCGTAGCAATTCTGTGACTTAAATTTCACTAAACAATTAATTTTGTAAAAAAATAGTTCTTCGTTTAAAAAAGTCAATGCAATCATTCTGTTAAATGTAAATGGAGGTTGCTTCAAAAGTTTTTTAAAATGCTGTTATATTAATTTCAAGTTTAAAGGTTTATATCCATAGATTTAAATTTTCTTAAAAAAATTCCAATATTAATTTTTTCGTAATTTAGTTATTGGCAACATTTGTTTTCCTAATACTACTTCCTAAGTCAACTTCACTGCAGGCTAGTCAAGCCCATAATATCTTCATTGCCTTCTGCTCCAAATGTATAATTTATTCTGAAAAATTTTCCACAACCATCTACATATCTCATGCATAACACGAACGGTATTATGATTAGACTTATACAAAGGGCATACATAATTGAAAAAGTCGAAACCTAGGTTAAGATATCTGGAAGAAGGTAACATATAACTGTTATTTCGAAGTCAACGGATAACATTCATATTTTACAGTCAAAAAGTTCTTAGCGCCGTTAAAATGTCTGAAATTTGGTGTTTTATATCGAAAACCTGATATGACGGGAAACTTTTGATTCAATTCATTACTTTGGAAAGGTACACACTAGTTGCTGGGTTAAAATGTGTTGGTCTTTGTAGTCGTGGTTTTTTCTATTGGTGTATAGCTTTCATCACAATAGAGGAGGTCAAAGGTCACCACATATTATATTTTACAAACTAGCATGCGTTCGCCGTTAAAACGTCTGAAATTTGGTGTTTTATATTTTAGGACTCAATATATCGAAAAACTGATATTTATGGGAAACTTTTGATAGAGGTCAAAGGTCACTACATATTATATTTTACAAACTAACATGTATTCGTGCTGTTAAAATGTCACAAATATAGCCAGGAACGGAAGCCCTCTAAGATTTGAAATTAGTATCGTAAATCAAACGTTAGACTATGTCATTAATTTATGGGAAGATTATATTTTTTCAGACCGTCAAAAAAGCTGATTTGTGTACTCCCTAACTAATCCACAAGTCTTTTAGTTGAAAAAAAAAAATTAAGACTCTTAAATTTGTCATTATATTCAATAATAGTAGATCGACTATTTGCATTATCATACTATTCTTCCATAAAAGATTTCCTTGTCGATCGTGGCGGGGCCGAATGGAGAAGCAATAACTCAACATAAACGTTGGTATTTACACTCATTATGGTCTGACTTTGGAAGATTGAAGAATTAAGATGCTAACTAGGTTATCTGGAAAATCAGACTAGACTAAATGCGATGGCATTAAATTGCTCAAAATTTGTAATAAAATGATTTGTCTAGAGACAAATCACATTTCTGATTATTCCAGAAAAAAATTTTTCCTATAATTTCATGTTCTTAGTCAAATTAATCATTACTCCATGTTTATGATTGAAGTCCTGATATATCACTTATATAGTGAGATCCTAATGTTCATAGGTCACGAAACGGTAGCGCATCACTCGCATTTCGACATTATCAAAAAGTATATATGGCTAAAGGAATTTCATTCAAATCGAAAATTTACTAATGCACTACATTCAAATCCTTAAATCTTATTGAACAAAACCTACTAAATTCCATATGAAACCACATTTCAAAGCATTTAATTTGCCAAACTACTGTTCATACCATAAAACAACAAAAACCTTTCATGCGTATTTGCACATATGAAAACCTTTCTAACTCACATGCATACATACATACATCGAAAAAATATCCTTTCTAACTTTAAACTATTGTTCGACAAAGAGAAATGCTGTCAAAAAGGCGTTTCTGGAAAAAAATCAATTTTTCAAATGTCAATAATTCAAACCATAAAGGTGGCGGCATTTAAACCATAAACTCTTTACTTTTCATCCTTTCTTCTTTCAAGCCAACTCAAAACTCTACACAAATATTTGAATAAAGCCGCAAAACGAAAGAAGTAGACGAATGAAAATAACAATAGAAAGTGTTAATGATGCGAGAGAGCAAAAAGGAAACAATAGAACATAGAAAAAATCCTTAATTTTTTTATACTTTTATTTCAAATTTTGAATATTAAACTAAAGCAAAAGGATTGTCATTGATCATAATGATCATCATGATGATAATTTTGACGATCACAATGAATGTATGTATGAATTTCAATGATGACTGATGATGATTGTGAGAAAAAATAAAAATGCTTGAAAATAAAAGTGAAAATTGACACGAGATTTTTTGTGTGTGTTTCAATGACAATTGTCGCAAAAATTAAGGAAAAAGAAAACAATAACAATTTTGTGTTTATTTGGCAAAAAAAAAAAAAAACACCTGGTTTATGGATGTTATTTTTTGAGGAAAAAAAGGGTAGTTTTGATACAAAAAGTATTGATTATATTACATGCATTAACCGAAATTGTTTTAATGATTTTTGTAAATATTTAAGAGGAAGTTGAAGAAACTGAAGATTTTTAAGTTCTGATTCCGTTTATGGCTTGCTTTGGTTTTATTTTAATTTGGCAGGTTTTTATAGTAAAGCACGAGCTATTGTTGTGGTAAAAGTTTTCCAAATTAATTTTTTTGGAGTTATTTCAAGAGCACACATTTTCAAATTAAAACTTTTTAATTAGAATGGTGTTGGCGTGGGTTGTTGTCGAAGGACTTATGTTCGAGCTTCGGATTTGAAAACGTTAAAGTGTAAATTGTTGTTAAACATATGTTATGGATTCCCGGTTCCTCAATATGCAGTTTCTTTTGTAATTTCAGTTGTAGAAAAATTATTAATCGTTATATAATGAATGAAATCTATGAAATTTTGAGCTTTGAAAATATGTAAAGATAGCCCTTCCTTGGAATGATTTGACATGGGGTCTATCCAGAGCACCATATAATCTGGCACTATGGGTGGCCAGTTAACCTTGTTTTGGCTCAGTTGATTGAGGATCCTTCGGGATCCATATAGTGGCTGTATAGTCGCGGGTAGAGAATGTTAGTTTAAGAACTGATATATCCAAATTCCATATATGTCTGGATTCTCTCTCCAGTGCTGTTGCCATCTCAACTTATGCTGGATTCTTGAACTCATCGAGTATCTCTTACTTTTCGCGTAGTAGGGCGCCAGTATAGGTTGGAGAATTTTCAGATTGACACTTGGTAGTTGCCTGTCATTGCGTAGATTCTGGGAATGGAACTGATGTAGGTTGGTGAACAATCGGGAAAGACTCCTCTGCCCGACAGGAGACTAGTACTGATTTAGTAGACCTCTTACTTCTGGGAAGTTCTCGCTGCCGTTGTTATCTCATCAGGATTCATATTGTTTCAACTTGTCGGGGCAATGATTGGGTTCGAATTGACTTTGGAAATTCCTAAAACCTTTGTCACATTATCTGACATGTAGAGGAATCCTGATTTATTGGCTGGAAATTTCGGACTACCAAATACGTCTCTAGGTGCTGTTGCTGAATCAACAGGGCCATCTCAGTAGTGTGATTGCGCGAGCTTTGAAATGTTAAGGAATCCACTGGAATGGGTCATTAGTTGATGGGGATTGCACCTTCCGGCATCCTGGAAAATTTATTTCATCTGATGTTGGAGTAGTCTCCCCCCAAGAGATTAGATAGCTCGAGTACTTCAGCAAAGTGCTTGTACATGGACCGGCACAGCCATGTACAAAAATTGCCACCTGAGTTCTTCTTAGAAAGATTCAGGGGCCCGTGGTAGATCGTCTCATGTCTACCCAGTGGATGAAAAAGACCACCGTGAAATAAGGCCGTCAAGACAGGTGTTTGCGTTAAGCACTTAGACATCTTGATCCCGCTGGCCTTTTTCTCGTGGGGTTTGCTTGAATTAGCCTCCAATCACAACTTTCCCCAAACCTAACAAAACTCATGCCATCGGTAAAATTCTTCGCCAAACTATATACAAAATAGTATAGATAGGCTTTCCAGACACACTTTGTTTTATTCAAAATTAGAGAATATATCAGCCAAATGAGACGCCATATAAAATATTTTTCTCTGTGTGAACATCCACTAAAAATTTTGGGATCACTCATATCGATTTAATTGGGAATAGGGCCTTTAATGAGGCCTTTGATCAATTATAAACAAAGCTCTACAGTTCGATTTTAATGAAAGCTGTCGCCCTTATTTCTAGGAA